ATTTGATAAAATAAAATAAAAACTTTAATTAAAAATAATATAAAATGCCAACACAATATGCCAACATGGCATATTTCTAAAAAGGAAATATTTTAATTTATACTTCAACCCTTGTCCTAAAAGACTTTGCTGGTGGTATTAATAAGGGAAAGATTAAATTATTATTAACTTTTGATTACCAACAATATAAACTATTGTTGACATTTAGGTATCCAATTATTTATGGTAACTACGTATGATGGAGGATTTAGTTCATAATGAAGCCGTTATCTTGGCCAATCACATATTTCAATTATAATGTCAAACTATTGAAGCGACTAATACACTTTTCAACCATTAATACACCAGCCATAGCTGTTGGCTCATAAATGTCACTCATTTGTGACTAAACATTTTTATTCATGATTTCAGGAGCATAAATATTTTTCATGTCGTAAATTCGTAATGTTAAAATGCCTTATTCTATTAGTATATAGTTTGTTTTCTAGGTAGAATAAATGTTATATATTTTTAAATATTGTTCGTAACTTTCTTCTGTTCTACTATAGAAAATATCAATGAATAAATTTGTAAATTGTWGTAAGATTAACACTGAATTTCATTCAAAATATAAGGTTTTTGTTTATGTTAATCATTTGCATTGGAATTKGGTAAATACACTGTCGAAAAATTCAATGAATATATTAAATTAAACATTTTATTTTAGAATATTGTTAATTATTTCCATAGAATGTTTATTCAATACAATAAATTAATTAATACGCATAATATCAAATAATTGTTATCGGGGATTAAACAAAAATGTATTCAACAAAGGTAACGCAATTGCATGTGTTTACTTTTACTTAATTAAATTGAATTATCTACGATTAAACTCGTGAGTCAATAAATTAACCCGTACTTGGATTTTCGAAGATAAGTTAGAGTCACCGTTGGTGGAAATATTGTGCTAAATAGTTCTCACCCGGTCCTAGATTTTTATGGCGAAAAAAAAGAGTCCCGTAAGGTAATTTACTATTCATATTCGTTAAAAAATGTTCAATTGTGAAATTATCACACTTAGTAAATTAAAAACAATAAAAATGTTTTTCGTAATTGATCATATTTTATACTTTTATCATAATAAAATATTTGTAATTTTAGAATTGTAAATGACATTTAGCTTCACCATAAAAAATTTAAAATAATACAATCATCGTGACAATATAAAACCAAACGGTCGTATACATTACTCAATCCAATTTCAACTCATAAAATAAGTTTCTAAATGTTAACCTAAATTAAATGAGTTATGTGTATTACATTTTTCATAATATTATAACCTACTTTAAACATTTAATTTTAAATGTTTTTTTTTCTTAACTACATTATACGTTCTATAGAATCAAAATTAATTTACTATGATTGTTTAAATGTACTTATATAAACTAAGCGAAACGTTGTAAATTTAACTTGGTACTACATTTATGAAAACTACTCTGGAAACTTCATTCAGAGCTGAATTTCATCGATTCATTTTAATATCATTTATATCAGTAATAAAAAAAGCTTATTCGCAGATATGTTTTAAGCACGTATGGATATAAGGTAAATTCTAACCGGAAGAATTCGAATGTTGCTTGATTATTTTTTGGTACAATTATTATACTATAATGATTAGCCAAAAATAATTGAGGACATTTTATCGGAAGGAAGTGGATAATCGCTGTAATTATTTTTCATTAGATTGGAATTTTCCGCACTCACAATTTATATAAGCCATGTACTAGGCCATAGACTAAAACGGCTTTTTTATAAAGATTTTCCTTTTGTGTGTGGTTTGAAAAAAATTACATAGTATCCATTCTGTACCTATTATTAATAAATTTGTGTGGGAAAAAGTTTTTACCTACTTACACGTAGGTACATTATGCGAATCGAGTAAAATGAATAACAAACTGAATATAAATATATCGTAAATGTCTTAACTGTTCGAAACACTTGCCGTTATTTTAATTATTATGTATAATGCAATATTAATAATGTCTGTTTTCGAATAATAATAATATAGTTAAACTTATTCATATTGAACGAAATTCACCTACCTATATGTATGTCGCGTTGTGTTTTTAAGTGATGTAGAATATTATGTAGAATATAATGTAATGTAATGTAATAAAATATCTGATTTCATGTGCGCCGTCYTGACAAAATGATTGTTTTCTCCGTACCTTAGAATCTTTGAGGAATAATAATTGTATATAATAACATAAAGGTACTGAACATGCATTTTTAAATCATTGTTCCTTTTTTTGCTTTTAGAAAACTTACGTGTTATCACTTTATAACCGACCAGTAACGTAAAAAMCTGGTTGATAAGGTGGGCAAACGCCACGGGCCAAAAACCGATTTTTTTTTTTGATGTTAGATTTCGCAACAAAATAATAAATATGAAAATAATATTATTTTGGTATTTGAAATAAATGTCAACTTTAAACAGTGAAAACTTATGATATTTTCGTTGGACGCATTAACCGATCGATCGTCGATCGTCGATCATCAATTATTATTGTATCGATCATTAACCATATTATTATTGTACATAGGTAGAAATCCGCGACCAATATGCGTGCCGATCTTCCCGCCCGCCTGGACCCGGAGTCGGGTTTGTCTGAAATTCAGCAACGTGTACTTCGTGGGCCGCAACGTCCACATGTGCTTGAGCATGGAAGCACAGACCGAGAAAAAACCCGTGTTCGCCGTCGACTTCAACTGCRTCCGGATGGGCACCTCGGGCGTGGCGTTGCTAAAACCAGAGGATGGAGGCGGCCTAGAGCCACCGGCGCCTCAAGATCCAGCCGACGTTCAAGCCGGAGGAACGACGACGGCRGCGGCAGTGGCTCCGGCCGATCCAACTTCGAGCTCAACGGTCGTGAAAAAAAATAAACCCAAACCACCACCACACGCATGAGTTTGGTGATAATTCGATTCGGAAATCCCGACAAAATCATAATTATTGATATATATTATGGTTTAGTTATAGCTAATATATTATTATTATACCGTGTTGCATATGCTGACTAAATAATATTGTTATGACAGGTAAATATTTGGGTTGGTTCGCATTACCGTTATATTATGTGTGTGTATATGTGTAAAAACGTTATTTGATAAATTATTACTTAAATTATATTAGTAGTTAACGAACTACTCTAAATCTTATTTATTATTAGTTTTTACCATTGAATCCATTCGAAAATATGTTTGTTGAAATTATTTAATTTTTAAGGTTCTGCCATGCATATTTAAATTAGTAATTACTAATTATGTACCTATATATATATATTTTATGATGATAAATGAATACATAAATATTTAAGTCTTAACATTTAAAATTGTATAGGATAATAWTCATAYTATTTACCATATCGTCCATTCCAATAGTAATTAATTTGAAATTCCTCGGTGAATATTATTTTATTGAATTTAATAATTAATAATATTTTTTCAATTTTTCAAAAATAGCTTTAATGAAATTCAATGTCATATACAAGTTAATCAATCTGCTATACACCAAGCTCATATTTTTAAGTTTTGTTTATTTTTATAAAGTAGTAATTACTATTTTTGATTTACGATATKTATACAAAAAATAAACTCATTTAAACTTGATTAACTGTTATAGAGTAACAGGTAAAAAACAGCTCAAAGAGCTTTAATTAAGTCCCTCTCKGTTATCTAAATTAAAAATTTAATACAAATTATACATGTGAAATCGTGTAGAATAATATATTGAGAAATTAAATATTTTAAATTACTAAGAACTTTACAATTAAAAATACTTTTATTGATCTGTGTAATGTATGATAATTATAATATATTTTTAAATGGTCTATTTTGCACAGRTGGGTGACGGATACAACCATCCTAACAAACCATTTATACCATCATATAGCCTTAATCCTTATCATATAATACTTTTATACTGGCCATTAAATAGTAAAGTTACCTAAATAATGCATATTAATATTTYAAAACCACCGTAAACCTATAATAATAATACAGAACCCAAGATAGCCACAGTTTAATGTAAAAGGCATTTTAAATAATTTATTATGACTAATATATGTAAATCTTTTTTATTAGTTTACCTTCTGAGTTTTATGCAAGTTTATCAATTTCACTTTTTACTTGATTAACAGAAACTAAAACGTTTGCCATCATTTCTTGATTAGGTAATTTAATTGATTAMTCTGTGCCGTAGGATAAACATCAAATCTTTTAACATAGGTACAACATGTAACAGTATATGTAATATATCAATATAAGTAATATAACACTAGTAAAAAGTCACCAGATGGACATGCATAATATATTTTGTATTTATAAATAAATAAACCTCTTAGATGTTTGAAAATTCAACTTGTCTTGTACAGACAAACGGTTTGAATACATTATTACATCGCCGTGTTAACGGTGATTTGGGGTTCAGYGGTCTACAACCGGAAGTTATCAAATACCTGGTTGTGGTGACGTAGGGACGAGTAGAAACGTTAGGAGCAGAACCTAGTGTCTGCGAAGAAGGAGAGGTAAAAGGGTGTAAAATAAAATTGATATACTCTCTGTCGATTATGRTTGGCATAACAAACACCGACTGCAACTTTATTTGGTTCGTTGGTCGCCAGACACTCGGGCTGAAAACAACCCTTGTAACATGTGGATTTATTACAAATCATACTTTGTATCTTGTATGATACACACAACCAATCTTAATTTTGAAACATAATGAATCGGCCATGAAGACGTATTTCTTAAAAAAAATATTATTTAAGAAATGGGTAGTCATTAATGTAAAAACATATTTTAGAATTAAATAATTGATGCTACATATTTTTATGATATTTCTAATATTGTGCTTAGATAATAAACAATATTTTATAAAATATAATTTTTGATATATTTTAATATGATTATTAAAAAATAAAAACATATTTTAGTGCAATATACAGGGTGATTCTTTTATCAAACAACACTCATTATTTCAAAAACTATTGAATTTTTTCAAATTTTTTTTTTTTCAAAATGTTGGAACCATCTTGTTCTAGAACTATATATTTTTTAAATATTTTCACCCTTATATTTATCAGGTTAACCATTATCAACTTTTGATTTTCAAATGACAACCTATACTTAAAATTTGATAAACTAAAAAGGCTATTTTTTCAATGAATTTTCACGTTTAAATTTTCATTTTTCGTCAATCCGTTTACAAGATATAGCCTCCCAAAGTTGGATGGTTTTGGGTGGTGTTTGTGTGTTATAGGTGTATGTTAGGTGGTATTTACACACAAACACCATATAAGTGTTGTTTGATAAAAGAATCACCCTGTATAAATTTCCAATTCCAATTTCATAAATTAACCAAAATAAAATAATAAAAATATATTTATATTACAAAATATAATATAAAATTACGTGATTAACTTTTGGACAATATATTTTTAAATAAAATTAGTTCAATGTAAATTGTGTCAACAATATTTATTTAATCATATTTTATGATTGTATTATTTTTATTATTATTGGTATCAGTTACAGGTACAAGGTTACCTGTTAGCTGGCTTGTAAGTTTTAATTATTTTTTACTTAAGACTTGACTTGTATTTGTTGTATTAATATTGCCTTAATGAGTAAATAACTTAGTTCAACTACTCAGATTTTTTTAATAACTGCAATAATAAACTATTATATGATAGGTAACATGTGAAATATAAATAATTACTAAACATATTTTAACTAATTTAATTAACTATTTTCCAAGGATCAAACCAAAAAAACACTCCAAATGGTGAAGAAGAATTGACTTCTCTAGCCACTTATTATACGTGCATACCCTTTTAAGTATGGTTCGACAATGTATCTGCTAATTTATTATACTCGTAAACCATTTGCTAGTATTTCTGTATCATGTAAATACAAATAATAACWTTCTTCTATATATTGCATAACGCATAATATGACTTTGTTGAAACTTTGTAAACTATAAAGAAAATAATTTATAAATAATTGATCCAGTTACGTGTTTTAATAAAGTGTAGGTAGTAATTATATTCTTTTTAAGCGTTGTCAAGTATCATTGGTGCATTTGTGGGCGAGGGAGTCGAAAGAATAAATTTCAACAACCTTTTCACAACTTCTAACTTTTACACCAATTAAATATTATAATATTATTTTTTAATTTCCAATTTCCAATTTATTCTTGAGGGTATCAAACATTGAGTATTAATAAATTATAAAATATTAGTAAGCCGTTAGAATTTCAAAATATAACTAATATTAATGGTTTAGTAATAATAAAACTTAATTATAAAAAACCACCTTCTAAAAATAATATTGTAGGGTCTTAGATAAAAAAAAAAACTAAAAATGATAATGTAGCACCGTACCTAACCACGTCACACTTATGTCACATCACTGGTGTATTTCTGACCTTTTTGGGTGGGGTAGATTGCCGGATATTGGTTGGGTTACATTTTTTTTAAATTCAAATAAATTTTAAATGTATTTAGGGATGAAATTATTGTTTCTAAATAATATGAAAATAAATGTCATTATTTTCCACTTGTGTTTGGAATGTTGACATTTTTTTRTTACGCATTTCACTGATTGTTGAACGTAATATACACTAAAGTACATAAGTGATAAATATTTAGCTTATACATATTAATACTTGATCAATATTCAGTAATAAATAATAACAATGCAAATTTCGTACCCGTATAGAAATAGAAAGCTCCATTCAATGTCATATAATTTTGAATTGAAAATAATACAAACAATCATGAATAAATTTAACTATTACTATATTTTGATAATAATAACAACAACAAAATGTGTTAGCTAAATATTTATCACTTATGTACTTTAGTGTATATTACTATATTTTGATAATAATAACAACAACAAAATGTGTTAGCTACGATRATTACTCTTCTATATTTGAATTTGTAAAAATTACAAGTTATACAGCTCTTGATACTTTAATATAGTTAAAATTCAATGAGATTTTTTTAAATCTAATATTTATATATGAATCTTGCCGATTCAAAATAAGCAAATTTGATACAAGTAGGTAACTGGTAAATAACTAGATAAATATATTATACACAAAATCAGTAATATATATATATATATTAAAATAATACATAAATAAACAAAAATAAAAAACAAAAAGGTATCCCATCCAATACAATAACGTTACTAAATACTAACTTAAGATAATATGAATTAATAGAATTATTTAGATTAATTTTTGACTATTTTATTTTTGATATTGTGGTACCGCAATGTCTTTTTATACGTCAAATTGGGTTATTTGTTTCATAGTGTTATTGTTGTGAAATTCTAAATTTAATATTTGGAGTAAATTTTAATTTCCTATGAAAATGAGATTAGTTGTATTTATATACGTTATTTTAATCCTTATTTAAATCTATAAGTAGTGCATTAAACACTTCGACAGTCTATCATATTAAACTCACTATGTAACTTAGTTAAAAGTAACTTAACTTTATCTTTTATACTCGTTACTCGTTAATATCCAGCATTGCTTGTTCGATATTTTTCATGTGATATAACATATTAAGTAAACTTAATCTTGTCGAACTAATGTATCATTGATAACACTAAAAAACGTTAACTTAACCTAGCATGTATAATCATCGGTTATAACTAGGCAGTTAAGTCTAACAAAATCAACGAAAGTTACTCTTTTTCTAAAACATTGTCGTACCTTATTTTCTCATCTATTCACTTACGTGCCTATTTTTTTAATAACWTAAAAAAGTTAAAATACACATACACGTAAAAGTATAATAGTTCATTAAACAAATATACAATCTACAATATTTTTATATAAAGTATTTGTCAAAACTAATTGAATAAATAAATAAGCTTGATTTATTTTAGTATTCTGCAAATATTTGTGATTTTAACGAGTTAAGTTAAAATTTAAACTTTACACACTTAAAAATTATGAGTGTACCTATATATTTTTAAAATTGTTTTACTGCGATATGAGCAACATGCAAGAAGCCTCGTATTAGATCTTCAAGCATTTTGCTCCCAAACGAAAATGTATCGTATTTGTGTTAACTTTTACTCTTATTAATTATTACGTACCTATTTAAAAGTTATCCTAATAATGAAATTATTAATAATACTAACATGGTAAACTACTTTTAGTAGACATCCGTGATTTATTAGAAATAATAATATTATAGATTCAAACATTTTTAAAAATGTCCAGTATTTCAAGAAACTGCGTAATAAATAATAGTACCTGGACATTATACACTGATTTTAAGAAATACTCAATACTGATCCAATGATAGAACACAATATAAATTTAAAATATATTAATTTTGCCGTTCAATTATAAGAAGTTGAATATGGTTTATATTCAACCCAACGCTGATTGAATATAGTTTGTAGGTATCGAGATTTCATAATCATTACAAAAAGTAATGACGTTTAGATGAGGTAGCCCTGTATGATTAATGCACATAACTACATAAGCGATTTGCCAATGTATTATAATATATGACTTATTACATTATATTTTATGACCATGCATAATAAATTATAAAAAATAATAAATAACAATCGAAAACTCTGATACTCGAAACTCTATACAATACAAGTAACTAACACACGAATCATTGAGCAGAGTGCATAATTTGCAGTATATTCATAGTTTTAAGGACGTTATATGTAAATTTTGTGATAAAACCCGCATCTGNTCGAGATTTCATAATCATTACAAAAAGTAATGACGTTTAGATGAGGTAGCCCTGTATGATTAATGCACATAACTACATAAGCGATTTGCCAATGTATTATAATATATGACTTATTACATTATATTTTATGACCATGCATAATAAATTATAAAAAATAATAAATAACAATCGAAAACTCTGATACTCGAAACTCTATACAATACAAGTAACTAACACACGAATCATTGAGCAGAGTGCATAATTTGCAGTATATTCATAGTTTTAAGGACGTTATATGTAAATTTTGTGATAAAACCCGCATCTGRACGAACTGGGCCTAAGAGAGGTATACCTATTCGCATTGTATAATTATATTGAACGCATTGTTATTGTAGGACATCGGACGGATCGAAAACAAAAAAATAATAAAATCCATCAATACCTACTACCTGCTGCACAAAACATTTTAAATGGATATTTTTCGCGATTTCGTTGTTTTTGCTTTACTATTGTTGTACATCATTGTAAAACATAGTTATACGAAAACACATATTTGGAATTCGAGAGGTAAGTTTATTATACCAATTTTATTGTAACTATAACGTGACTCAAAATCGTAATTAACACACAAGTTGTGTAAAATTGAGTTAACTATTCCTACGGACCAGAAATTGGTCTTTCAATTATAGGAATTTTCTATGATAGAAGTAATTGAGTTTTTTTTATAGATTTTTATTTCATATGGAAATATTAAATATAATATAGTTAATAAATCAATACATTTTCATAGTTATTTTAAAACATTTGATTTGAATGCTTAGGTATTTAAGAATATTTATGAATCTTATATTAACTTAGAKTTTTACAAAAGAATGTAGATAAAAAAAAAATGCACTGTATAACAAAACTGTAAAGAAAATTGATATTTTGTGAAATATAATAATCAACAAATAATAATATTTACAAACTATTTTTTTTWAATTTTTAGTATATARGTACAAAACTTGTTTAATAATGTTTTGATTGGAAATTATTAATGGAGTGAAGGAAATTTATTTCTGTTGCTTAAATATAAGCTATATAAACTATATTTTTTTCAACATGTTCATGGTTTCATGTCACATCACTATTTCGCAAAACTATAAAAAAGACTTTTCAAGTTTCATACGACAACTATCTTAATTTATTGAAAATTAATTGTTACTTTATAAATGTAATATTTGGATTTCAAATGTTCTGGAATATTTTTAAATATAACCACTATTTTATATACAGATGTCAACAAAACTTGTGTGAACGTTAAGTGCTATTGTAATTTTTAGTAATGATTTATAATWAATTTAAAATTAAACTAATCAATTTTAAAATATTTGAATCGTACAAA